ACGAGAGGACTCGGATCCTTACAGAAACAGCCATACCCATCAGAAGTCTGAACTTCCACGACCGTCACAGGGACACGTTCGTGGGTTGAGCCGCATCTCGAAAGGATAGATATTAAACCGCCGGAGGAGGAGGAACATATGACTTCAGTGACGCTTTAGTAATATTTTAAGTTGAATTTAAATGTTTGCGACAGGACATGTTGAACATGGAGCTGCCAGGCGACGGGAAATGAGGAAGACCACGAAGAAACTCACGCATGTAGTGAAAGAGGATACGCAGCGTTGGTGCGACAGAGAAGGATGAGACGGAGTCGCTGTGGTGCTCCCCGAAGGGAGCGGCCGAAAGACGAGGACGATAAAACAAACGTGGTGCAAAAACATTCCCAGCAACATCCCAGAGGAAGCGGCAGCAACGTAAAACAGTGAAAAGGCTGAATGATAATGTGTCACAAAGGTGACATTCCTAGCTGGAGGGAACGCCGCCATCTTTTCTGTAGCTCGGGCCCATTAAGGTCGTCTGTATGCGCCCTTTCTTTCTGGCCGGCTCGCTGGGGAGCACATTACAGGGAAGCAGTTTGGACTTTGACCCCGGTGCCTGCAGAGAGCTGGGAAACACTGAGCTCCTCTGCTTCCTGTCAGTGCGAGATGCAGGAATCAGACAGGTTCCTGAATATTCAGCCTTTTCCCTGTTAGTGGTTACGGCGGCCTGACGATGTGCATTCCAGCACTTGTGCGATTTCACAGTCTAGGAGCAGGTGTTGCTTTTGATTGGTGGTTGTTGTACTCCAGAGAAAAACACACCAAATGAAAGAGGGGGGAAAATCTCACACTTCCCCCTCCCTCCCCATCAACTTTCTTTTGCCATTACCACTTCTCCCCCCCCTCACTTCTCTCCCCCCTCCTGTTTCAACAAATGAGCTCACTGTTTTTACAATTAGTACTTAAGGGACTTAGCAGCAAATGTACGAGGTGTAAGTGGTGTGAGTGTTAAGACAACTACACAATACACAAATTCATGCAGAGACAAAGAAAATGAGACAAATAAGAGCGCCAGCATGGATCCCCCCCCCCCCTCCCTCCAGGCTATTAGTCCCAACTTAGATGAAGGTTTCAACCAACCTGCAAAATCAAAAGCTTTGTATTTTCCTATAATGGATAAAACTGAGACAAAGCAAGAACTGGAAACGA